TGTTCCAAGAAGCCAGGTCAGAGAGCTAAACAGCCTGGGGAGAATCCAGCCTCAGCTCCAAGAAACTGTCTAAGCACTAACTTTCCCTTAAAACTGAAGTCTACCCTGGGGCCAGGCAGGGAGATCCGTGGTATCCTATAAAGGACCATCACTCTTGAGCTGCCTGGTATATTCTGGCCACTAGGATGCCTGGGTACTAGATCTCTCTTCTGCGTCACTCACAGCCAAACATTTCAGTGGGATGTGGTCTGAGAGGCTCCCAGTGCCACTGTGCACTTGACTCAGGCCTCATGGGGCTGTTGAGATTCTCACTAACAGTAGAGTCACTCCTCTGATCTACTATCCAGAAAGTCTCTGTCAAAAGGCAAGCCATATATTTTTGAATTATTATACTCATCTCTCTAATGAATTTTTAAAATCTCTACAGTAAGGTTGAAAAATGAGGTGATATTACTGGCAGGGATAATTCATTTACTCATTTATGCCCGTTCAATTCTGAATGAACATTCAACATAAAACTATTAGGCTTTTACTACTTGCCAAAAACTGAGTTGGTCTTAGAACTTCAGCCTGAAATCTTTGCCTTGAGGCAATGAATCAAAATCTCTTTGGGTGAGGCTTGGACATTTTACCATTTGTCCGGAAGTTCTAACCTGTGGCCACATTGAACCACCATGCTGAGAAAAGGGTGAATCGAAGGGGAGAGAATACCCAGGAAGAGTTAGGTCCTGCCTGGGCTCTGACCTTCCACAGCTGTGTGATTTGGAAGACCTCATTTGCCTCTTGGGCTTTTAGGTTGGGCTTTCTTCTGGAAAATGAAGGGATGGGAACTGATGGTCTGTCTTAGAGGTCTTTTCTATCACTCCTCGTCCTTTTGACCAGAACTAAAAGGCGAGTCCCTTTCAACTGTGACATGCTGTGACTCTACAAGATATCTTATGGTGAGAGAAACAAAGGAAAGACTTCTGTGGAGTCTCTAAAGCCCAAACCCATCAGGCTGAACCTCTGCCTTCCATACTCACTTTTTAAAAATTTTTGCTTTTTTTTTTTTTCCTTTTTGGTACTGGGGATTGAATTCAGGAGTAAGTCGTGTAGCTCATTCCTTATAATAAATCTCCATAAACACTCTCTTGATATAAATATGGATATTGATATAGGTATAGATCTACATCCCATTAATTCCTTCTTTGGAGAATGCTGACTAGCACAAAAATGGTAATACACTATAATTTAAAAGTCCTTATCCTTGAGAAATAGATATATGAAATATTTACAAATGAATGATATGATATCAGACATCTCCTTCAAAATAATCTTGAGGTAGAGGGGAAATGGATAAAAATTTAGATGAAACAAGATTAGCTTTATAGTGATAATTGTGAAAGTCAGGAAATGGAAACATGGAGTTTCCCTAAGCTATTCTCTGCCTTTTTAGATGATTAAATTTATCTTTAATGAAAAATTTTAAATGGAAGAAAAAACTTCTGAAAAGTTGAAAAATAGAGGTGGTATAAGGGATTACTTTTCCCCATAACAACTACTATGGAATACTATGACTATAATCATGCATATAAAAAAATTTAAAAATTAAACAGTGAAGAGGACCTATCATAGGCATAATAGTTAATGGTAAAACTTTAGCTAATTCTTATTCAAGTTTAAAACATCAGTGATTCCTGCTTTTCAACATTATTCTGGACTCTTAGACTTCACAATAAGACAAGAAAAAGAAATAAGAGCTAAATAGATTGGGATTAAAAGACCAAATTTTATTATTGTTTGCAGATAATACTGTATGCATAGATAACCAAAATAATTTACAAACTACAGAAAAACAGCAAGATACCAAATCAATAGTATTGCTATGTACTGGCAATAAGTAATTAGTGATTTGTCATTAGAAAATGTGGTAGAACAAAATAATGTAAATAATAACAATATAATCTGTAAGGCACATTGGAATAAATGTATCACAAGGCAGGAAGACATTTATGAAGAAAATTATAATTTTTATAAGAAAATTATTGAAGGACATAAGAAAAGACCTAAATAAAATCATAAGTAAGTTAATCCTCCCCCATATTATTCTCTAAATGCAATGCTTATCTAGAAGCTCAACACAACTGTTTGAGAACCTATGTAAACTGATACAAAATTTAACAATTTCAAAATTTTGATAAATACTTTGAGAATATGCATTGTAGAGCTATAGTGCCTAAAATAGTGAAACACTGGAATAGGAATAAAAAATAAAATCAATAGAATATACCAGAGATCCAAGAAATAGTCTCATATAGAATTGAAAGTTGATATATCACACAGGTGATAATTGGTATTAGTGGGCTGTAAGGAGTGATTGGTTTGCCATGTGGAAAACAAAATTAAGTTAGATTTCTACTTCACATATACACAAAAATAAATTCAGATGGGTTGCAGACCTAAACATGAAAAACAAATTTAAACTTGTTAAAAGAAAATGTAGGGGGAAATACTGCTATTCTTGATGTAGGGAACACAAGAAAAGGAGAATAATTAGATCATAATGTAAATGTTCCATGTAACAAATGATCTGACACGAAGTTAAAAGATAAATAGATTAGAGAAGACATTTGCAACATATGAAAATAGGTAAAAGATTCATATCAGAACATAAAGAGAGGTCCTGCAAATTCATAAGAAAAACAACCTAATAAAAGTCTTGCAGAGGATATGAAAAATTCACAGAGAAGGAAATTCAAACAAGTAAAATATGCAAAGGTGCTCATAACTTATATATAACCACAGAAATACAATAGCAAGATGAGATGCTATTTCACATTTATGATATTGGTAAAAATTTAAAAGTGTGACTATGAGAATATTTGGAAACTAAAATACAACTGTTAGGACAATTAATTTAGAGATCAAAATTTTAGAGTATGGCTTATCTAATTGAAAATTCATAACTGTATGACCCAATAATGCTTATACCCAGTGCATACTTCTAGATACATACCTGAGAGAAATTCAGACACATGAACATAGGAGACATGAAAACATTCATTGTACCATTTAAGCAAATATGTGTACATGAATCAAAACATCATATTATACTCCATAAATGTGTACAATAATCATCAGTAAAAATTTTAAAAAGAAATGTATCCACATAGATATAATAAATAAATAGTGGGGAAAACCTAGAAATAACCTAAATTATAAAAATATAATTATGGGTACATAAAAGGTACTATATTCACATGCTCATTAAGAAAGAACTAGATCTATCCTATGTATCAGCAAAAACAGATCTCAAAAATAATGTAGAATTTAAAAGCAAGTTCCAGAATAATACATGTAGTATGATATCACTTACATAATATTATATATATATATGTTGTAGATAGACACAATACCTTTATTTATTTAACTTTATGTGGTGCTAAGGATCGAACCCAGGGCTCCACACATAATAGGCAAGCTCTCTACCACTAAGCCACAACCTTAGCCCCTACATAATATTTTTTAAACATGCATTTTAAGGGACTACATCCAGAAATGAATGGCAGCTAGGACGTGGAGACAAACTCAGACAGACCTTTTGAGAAGTTTCACTGGGAAGGAGAAGGGGCTATCACAGTTGGAGTTGGTATAGTGTCTGAGGAGTTCAAATTATTTTTTTAAAGTACAGTACTAGAGCATATAGATGTGAGCTGGCAGAGAGACTGAAAATAATCACTCATAAAGAGCAAATTCCTTGAGAAAGTGGAATCTTAGGCTGAAGAGCACAAAAGGAGATAAATTTGTAGGCTGTACAGGATGTAGAACCTTCCAGAAGTGGTGCTAATTGGATGTGCAGATGGGGTAACATTGTAAAGGGGTTTGAATCCAGATGGACTAAAGGCAAGACAAAGAACCTCCCTACCATTACAGACCCAGCCTTTCCTGAGATTCTTGGACCACAGTACTGTCACTCCTAACGAAATCTGCTCTAGAGCGTCCCCATAATGCACTTTGTGTTGTGAACTCATGGAAGATGGAGTGAATTCCAATACCACGCAATACCTGCATTGACCTGTAAGTTTCCTCTGTACCCTCAGCACCGCCTCTCGCACAACGACCTAATGCAAATGCTGCAGCTGTGCTTTGGACAAAGCATGCTGGGCTGGTTCGGGTCCTGCCTCGACTGATTACTGGTTCTGTAATCTTCTAGGGCAAACTGTCTAACTTCTCCAGGGCTCAGGTTTCTGTCTCACAATGTGGTTAACTGCGTTTATGTATTTTGGAAGCAACCAGCTCAAGAAAAATACTCAGGACAGGACAGGATTTATGACTCCCCCTAGCTGAAAATACTCGGAATTTTTCCTTCCTTCTTCTCCCTACCTGTCTTACCAGGGATCCCAGGTCTAGCTCTTCCATCCCTCCACCCCACTCTCCTTCCCATAAACGTCTTTACTTTTTCTTCCCCTCCCGATAGTCCTTCGCCTGAGACTGTGGGGTATCGCCTGAGACTGTGGGGTAGGATGTCGCTCCTAAGTGACCGCTCCTTGTAGTGATTTTAGATCCTTCACGGGAGCCCCAGGCAGGGGGCGTGCCACACTACACTGCCAGCCTTACTTTCTGCGTAGGTGGCAAGAGGCCAGCTCTTACACACACACACACACACACACACACACACACAGCCCGGGTGTGCATCTGTCTGGAGAGAGTCGGAAGCTGCAGGGTGCGAGTGTAGAGACGTTTGTCTGCTAAGTCCGTGAGTCCTGCGGGCTGGTGGGAGCTTGCTTGCGTTCCTGGGTTCTTCTTACTAGCTCCCTGTCCCTGGGCCACTGCCACTACTCCTCCTCCCGTTTTGCTCCCTCCCCCAGCAGTCTAGCAGTCCAGCCTGGTGGGTGCCTGTGAGCCTCTCTCCGCCCTCCCACTGCAGGAGCCAACCCGGGAGCCAGGGAGCCCGGGAGCCCGGGCCTCTGGACTCTGCTGGAAGCGCATAAAACCCGCTGGGCTCCAGCCCCGGGCTCGGCTCCGGCTCGCTTTAAGAGCGCGTCTCTAGGCTGGAGCCTGCAGCTTGACCTGTGATCTTGGATTGCACCTTTGAGCAGGCATCCACTCTCCACTTACAGAAAGTTGGGAGAACGTGAATTTGGAGTGATCTGGGGACAAGTGGCAGCTGGCCCAGGTCTCTCCTTACCCGAGCTCATCCTGCACAGCCTCCCCTGTTCTTCCCATCCCAACACCCCATCTGCTTGATCGGTTTTTCTTTCCCGGGTTCCCCTGCCCACTTGGGGCCAGCTCTGTTTTCTCCTTCCTTATCCCATTCTCCCTCCTCTCTTGATCCCTGTCCTTGACATTGTTATCTCCTGCTTTCAAGCCTTCTCCCTATCATTCCCATCTTTCTCTTCTTAAACTTTCACCTCGATACTTCATTCACACCTTCCCTCCATTTCTCCCACCCCCAGCAAACCTTGACCATGGATTTGGAGCCTTCCTGGACTGCCATACCCAACCCTGGGGGCACCCTTTCTGCCCCCAATGCCACAACACCCTGGCTGGGCCGGGATGAGGAGCTGGCCAAGGTGGAGATTGGCATCCTGGCTACCGTCCTGGTGCTGGCCACAGGGGGCAACCTGGCTGTGCTGCTGACCCTGGGCCAGCCAGGCCGCAAGCGCTCCCGCATGCACCTGTTTGTGCTGCACCTGGCCCTGACTGACCTGGGTGTGGCACTCTTCCAGGTGCTGCCCCAGCTGCTCTGGGACATCACCTACCGCTTCCAGGGTCCTGACCTCCTCTGCCGGGCTGTCAAGTACCTGCAGGTGCTCAGCATGTTTGCCTCCACCTACATGCTGCTGGCCATGACAGTGGACCGATACCTGGCCGTCTGTCATCCTCTGCGCAGCCTCCAGCAGCCCAGCCAGTCCACTTACCCTCTCATCGCGGCTCCCTGGCTGCTGGCTGCCATCCTTAGCCTCCCCCAAGTCTTCATTTTCTCTTTGCGGGAGGTGATCCAGGGCACAGGGGTGCTGGACTGCTGGGCTGATTTCCGCTTCTCCTGGGGGCCACGGGCCTACATCACCTGGACTACTCTGGCCATCTTTGTCCTGCCTGTGGCCATACTTACAGCCTGCTATAGCCTCATTTGCCATGAGATCTGTAAGAACCTAAAAGTCAAGACACAGGCTGGGAGGGTGGAAGCAGGGGGCTGGAGGACTTGGAACAAGCCTTCACCTTCTGCCCCAGCTGCGGCCAAGCGGGGGCTACCATCTCGGGTCAGCAGCATCAGCACCATCTCTCGGGCCAAGATCCGAACGGTGAAGATGACCTTCATCATCGTGCTGGCCTACATCGCTTGCTGGGCACCCTTCTTCAGTGTCCAGATGTGGTCTGTGTGGGATGAGGATGCCCCTGATGAAGGCAAGTATGTGGTCTATTCAGGGTGGTGAGGTAGGGAAGAGCGGGAAAGGAGGACAGTAGGGATAGGGCAGGGGTTACAATGTCTCCCAGGACCCGGTGGGTGATAAATGAGTGTAGCCATTAGGAAAGTTGGTGTTTGTTTGTTTTGGTCCATCTTCTGTTGCTGGAACAGAGTACCTGAGACTGAGTGACTTATAAAAGAAAAAAGTTTAGCTCTTACTGCTCTGAAGGCTGGAAAATCCAAAGTTAAAGGTTTGCATCTGGGGAGGGACTCTCTGCAGAGTCTCTGGGTGGCACAGGATATCACAGGACTTAGGAGAGATAGCCAAACTGACTTTAATAGAAGAAATATTCTTGTGATAACAAACCTACATCCTTGATAATTCATTAATCTATCAATCCATTCATGAGGGCAGAGCCCCTGACCCAGTCACCTCCCGAAGGTCCTACCTGCAAGTATAATGGACATATGACAGTGGAGATTATGCTTCTGACATGAATTCTGGAGGACAAACATTCAAACCATAACATTTTCCCGTGTGAAGAGGGACAGATGCAACTCTCGTCCAGCCTACGAATGCTATGTATCTTTTATGTGAAATTTCCTGATTTTAAAATTTGGGTATCTAACTTAACAATTTGAAAATACTGTGTGGTGCTAATGAGCTGTAACTGTAGGCAGATTTGCCCAACCAACTTCCAGTTTGCCAGATGGGCTTTAGAATTCAAGGATTCTAGAGTTGAAGGGTTTTTTTTTCCCCCAAATGATCTGGTCCAGGATGACAATTTGTGGCCCAGAAACTGTCTCTCTCTTGGCACTCTTCCCTCCTGTACCTGGACATCACTTTGAGCTCCATCTCAATGGCCACTTTCAGTTAATTAGGGCTGACACATGACAACCCTCAAATTTCAAGTGCAGCCAGGTACGGTGGTGCACACCTGTAATCCCAGCAGCTCAGGAAGCTGAGGCAGGAGGATCCCAAGTTCAAAGCCAGCCTCAGTAAAAGTGAGGCACTAAGCAACTCCATGAGACCCTGTCTCTAAATAAAAATACAAAATAGGGCTGGAGATGTGGCTTAGTGGCTGAGTGCCCCTGAGTTCAATCCCTGGTACCCACCCCACCCTGCAAAAAATTTCAAGTTCAGCCACTTCATTGTGTCAATGAAGAAACAGAGACTCAAAGAGGAACCATGACTTGCTCAAGGCCACACAGCTAGGGAGTGGCAAAGTAAAGATTTTAGCCCAGGTCTTCTGCCTCCTTGTCTTTTCCCTCAACCCAGCCTTGCTCATAACCCTGGTTCTAAAAGTGCCTCCACATGAAGGGCCTTCCTCTTACATAAAAAAACAAAACAACAACAACAACAAAACAAAACTGGGATGCCTCAAGAGTCCTGTGTTTCAGTTGGCACATGGCAGGACTTGCCTTTTTCTTGGGTGAGGTAGACATCAGAGCTTCAGACACTGCCTGGTAGTCCAGTCTTTGGACGTAAGCTTGTTCCCAGGAAGGCAGGGCTGTGTCTGGGCAGCCTAAGTGTTGGAGGCTGGTGTTCAAGGGCCTCTGTTCCTGCTACTCTAAGCAGAAGCAGGGCATGGAAACACATGCATGAGGACCTTTGGGCGCCTGTGATAGGAGTGACCGTGCTCTGCAGCACACCTCATGGTATGCACGACTCAGAACACGTACTGGGAGCACCGTGCGAGTGCCTTGGGGAGGCTCTTTCAGGATCTTTTGGAAGTTTCCTGAGAGTTCATGGTCCAGCAGCTCAGGCTACAAATTCCTACCAGCCCGTAAGGAGTTGTCCCCCTTGAGTTTGTTTCTGATCTCATTTTGGTCATCCTACTCAAGCCAAATGCTTTGCTTTTCTACAGACCTGAAATAGAGGAAGGCCATGCATTTAACACAACCATGCAGGAGAAAAGCAAAAGTAATGTCCAACTATGACAGTCCCATTATCTACCTTCTTAGCTACCCATTTGACATCAGTCTGAACAAGAGGCTGTTTGTAAATTATCCTATAAAGGATAAGCATATGAAACCCAACCAACTACAAGGCTCTCCCTCTGTAGCCGAGGTCAGACTAGAAGAAGGGAGAGCTTCCTGGGGCCAAGCACACTGAGTTTTCCTGCTACTGTGGGGTGATTTTCTCTACCATATATCCGAGGAAGTTGAGGCTGGAGAGGTAAAATAACTGGTCCAAAATGCCCTGCTTGTAGGAGACGGAGCCAAGACTTGGATGGTTTTACTCTGAACAAGCACAACTCAGCCAATGGCACCAGGAGGGGAGGTGGTCATTTGCCCCTTTAATGAGGAACATAGGAGAAGATGGGCATCTTGCCAATCAGCCAGTGTGGCTTTCTGGGCTTGCCTTGGTATCCACAATCCTCATAAGCCTGTCCCCAGCACCTCGTTCTTCACCTGTGTAGAGGGTTTTACCACTTCCCCAGGGCCTGAGAGAGGAACAAAGTTATTGTACAAACAATGTTTTCTTTCAGAAAAATTAAAGCATTTTGGACTGGGGTTCACTACTTTAAACTTACTTTTCAGCACCCCCAGTTCTCCTCACAACACACTGGTCTCTTGGCCTCCTGGCTCTGAGTTTTTGCACAGAGCCTACCTGGCTCCCTGCCTCTGTCCCTGTCCCCACAATCAGCTGAGTTTCTGCCTGGACCAACTATGATGGATCTGCCCTCAAGGGCGGAGAAGCAGAGCCCATGTTCTCTGGTGCTTCCTGGTTCATCTCCTGCCCCATACTGTACCTGGCTCAGATGGGCCAAGTCACACAGATGCCTCCTATGCCAAGGAACTTGCAAAGCTACTGTCACTAGTTTAAGCTGAACACTAAATGTATATTGATGAAGCAGCCAGGATGAATACCATCCCCTTAGCCAAAGCAACTCCCCAAGACTTCTGAAGCTCAGGTTAACTAGGCAAAACTGGAGACTAGTCCCTCCCCACTTAGACGTGACCCCCCTCACACATATTCACTACTGTGCCCTAGAGCTATGGAAGGAACTGGGTCCACCCAGGCCTTCTTACCTCTTTGATTTGTGTCTCTTATCAAACATTCTTACTCTATCTCTTCTCTTGGGTTACAAGAGGCCATACCTTGAGCACACTCAGGAGAGATGTGCAGGAGGAGCCAGTTTACCTGAAGCTTTGAAGTGCTCTATAGAGCTGTACCTTTGAGTTTGCAGGTTGAATCTCTGATAGGTGCAGGATCTCTGCCTTAGGGCTGGGAAACCTGGGTTTGAGCTGCAGTTCTTATTTACTGTGCTATACAAGTTGGAAAGTGTACTTCTAAATTTCTTCCCAGCTCTGACGTTGCTTTCAATAATTCTACAGTCCCTGGAAAAAGCAAGGTAACTCAGTAAGCCACCTGTGCCATAGCTGTAACCACGGTGGACCCAGGAGTCTGGTGCCCCTCCTGCAGCCTTCCTGTTGGTCTGGGGAATTTCATTTAGTCTGTTGAAAGATCGTATCTGGAAGGAATCTTGTCAGAGTTTGGCACTCTCCCATTTTGACTGCCTAAGAGAGAAATTAGTTTTTCCCTGCAAAGGGGTCAGTGTGCTCCTAGGGACAATCTGAGAACATGGAACAAGGACTGGAATGGGATACTGAGATGTCCCTAGAAGCTTCCCTCTCTCCTGTGCTTGGAAATGAGGCCATAGAACCTATGGAGCAGCCAGGCTCCACTGATTGTCCTACCAGATCCCTGGCACAGGACCCGGTATAAAGGCAGTACTCCACATGTATTCAGTGACTGAATGTCAGAATAAGTGAGGCTGGCCCTGAAAGGCAAAGATAGAATCTGGAGGGCAGCATAGGAACAGGAGTAGAAGGGACCTGCATTTGGTTATTTTCCCAGTTTATTTCCCAAGTCTACATCCATTAGTGGATTCAAGGTCTAGGCTTTAGAACAAAACCAACTTCTCCTATTTGATCTGGTCCTCTCCCTAACAATGTGGACTCTTCTAAATTCAACTTAAAACTTAGCTCCTGCTCTCACCCTGTAGTTAGTTACAAAACAAACAAAATCAGTGAGGAAGATTTTGGAGTCAAGTGACCCAGGTCAAGTCCCAGCTGTGCTCCTCTCTAGCTACAGAGCCCGGAGCGAATCCCTTCTCCTCTCTGGGACTCGGTTTCCTCATCTGTTCAGTGGAGGGCTGGCCTCTCTCCCAGATCCCTGCAAGCCACCATCCTAAGTCTTCTTGTACTTCTCTTGTGGCAGATTCCACCAACGTGGCCTTTACCATCTCCATGCTTTTGGGCAACATCAGCAGCTGCTGCAACCCCTGGATCTACATGGGCTTCAATAGTCACCTGTTACCACGCCCCCTGCGTCATCTTGCCTGTTGTGGGGGAGGCCGGCCCCGCATGCGCAGACAGCTCTCCAGCAGCAGTCTCTCCAGCCGCCGCACCACCCTGCTGACCCGCTCCAGCTGCCCACCCACCCTCAGCCTCAGCCTCAGTTCGAGGCCAGGGCCGGCAGAGTCACTGAAGGATTTAGAGCAGGCAGACGGGGAAGCCACCACTGAGACCAGCATCTTTTAGAGAAGACTTGTTGGATGGAGCCTGCGACTGCCCCCAGGGCTAGCAGTGGAGGATCTCTGCCCATCTCAGGCACTGGGTGTAAGAGCTGGGAGGTCAGGGTTAGCGTTCCCTGGAACCCAATTTGAGGCAGAGCGAAGAGGCCAGAATAACAGCCCTTAAGATGAAGCCTGTCCTCCTTAGCTCCCAATCTCATGGTGACAGTCAGGCAGAATCAAATGGCCTGCTTCCTGGTGGCCATACTCACAGGGTGTCTTGGAACACACCCACAGGGTGGAGGTGGTGCCCCAGATCTGGGGGGGGGCACTGTCTGAGGGTCCCCAGGTGGCAAGAACTCAGAAGCTGGTCTCATGCCTTAGCTACCTGTCCCCATTCTAACCTGACTTGCACGTCCCAGCCCAACCCCAGGGCGCAGGGAGTGAAAAACTCTAAGGACCTACTTGGATCCTGAATTTTCTTTTTCTTTTTTTTTTTTTGTATAGGGCATATAGTTTCATGAAGCAAGGTGAATGTGTATTCAGCCTTCACCTGCCATGCCCTCTTGTTTGTGGAAGGGAGATGCAGGATTGGTACAGCGTCTGCTACCCAGTAGGAACTCTGCAAATGTCAGTTCCTTTTCCCCCCATATCCTCCTCCATGGGATGGGTGGCAGGGGGAGTATTGTGTGTCCTTAGTGGTAGAGCCTAACCTGGGTGAGTCGGGGAAGAAAGAGAGGAAAGGATGAGATGAAAATGGTCACAGTGAAATTAAGAGCAGGAATAAACCTCAGAGGCTGCAGGGGCAGGTTTCCCTCCCTCTTCTCCCCAAGAGGTTCCTGCTACTCCTTCCTCTGGGTCTGCATGGAGGAGATGTCTTTAAGGAGGAGTGTGTGACCACAATTCTGGAATAATCCTTGAGGTTCTGCGGAGCTTCCAGTAAAAATTGAATGGATGTGGGGATGGAGTCAGGAGCCCAGGATTCTCATCTCGGCTCTGCCTTGGAAAGTCACCTCCCTCTCGGGGTCTCTGCTTCCTCACCTGTTGAACAGGTGAGATGGTCTCTAAGGTCTTTCTCAGCTCTAAGCTTCTCTGACTTTGCAAGACTGGAAGTGGTGTCATAAGAGATGACGCAAAGGGCATCTAACTCCCAAGCTCTAGGAGAACTCTTGAGTTTTCACCGCAGTGACATTTACACTCTTTTAACAGTTCTGGTGACTCTGGGTTCTGCCACGGCGATGCTGCCCACTTTGTCTTCAGTTCTGCGATGCTGAATCCTTCTCCAAGGCCAGGAGAGACAGCAGGGCAGGTGGAATCTGAGACTCTGCCCTGCTCCTCCTTATCTCCAGGGGGATTTACATCACGGGGTAGTTTCCTCACCCCAGCTGTCATTCTAAGAGACAGCCTGGATGGTAGAAGGAGCATCAGCTGAAAGGTCAGCAGGGATGGGTCTTGGTTCTGCTGCCACCAATGACCAACATCAGTAAAATGCTGGTAACCTTGCCACCTCAGTTATGAGGGACAGACAGTCCTTTGGATGTAAATGAAGTTTGTAAATGAGTTTGACTCAAGTTCCTTCCTCATTTACTCTTTGCCTTCAGTAGCACCCCTTCTTACCACTATTGTATTTTCTGTTTGGCACTGAACAAGGGAAATGGGCTTTTGGGGATGGCTTTGGGACCCCCCCGCTGTTCCTCCATGGGAAAGTTGTTTTTGATCTTTTCCCAAAAGCAGGTTCTTTCTTATTAAAAACCAATGGAGAACAACCAGCCACTGGGTCTCAGGGTCCCATTCCAGAAAGCTTTGGAGGAAATGGTGGGTCTTGTCTGGATCTATGAATGACAGCTTTTCAGGACCTGTAGGAAGCTCTCATGGACAGACTGGATGAGTCTTAGATGGGACACAAAGTGGCAGGAAACAAGAAGGGGGTTCTCTGCCGTCAATCCCATTCCTAACCGCTAAGCCCAGGAGAAACTGAACAGCACTGTCTCTGGGTGGGACACTTGTGTCAAATGTTGATGCCATTCTGTGGACTGGGAAATACAGTACCTCAGTCCCTTAAAGCCTTCTCAGGAGCAGGAGGTGAGGGACAGGCAGGGATGAGAGGATGGCAGGTAGGGCACTGATCAATTGACTATGGGGATTCTTCAGATTGGCTTTTCCCATAGTTTGGTACCAGCCAGTAACTTCCCAGATGACCATGTCTATGTTTTGTATATAAATAGGCCTTTTATCTATCAAAGGGCTATAAATTCAGCCTAGGCTATAGCAGTTCATTCCTAGGTCTGAAACCCAGAGAAGGTTGAAATCCACTAATAAAACCCTTTAATATACAGGACATTGCTGGTAATCTTTGTTTCCTAGGGGCAAGTATAATGGGAATATTCAAGAAAAAAAATTAAAACATGATCTTGAGAGAGGGGGGTAGGGCTGGACCACCTCCCTTGGAGTCCGGTTCTGAGCTCATCGGAAAAGCAGAGTGTCTTGGAGTTTGTCATTAGACCACAAGGTGGCACTGTGGAGCTGAAAGTGCTGGCAAAGTTGGTTTGGGCTGGGTCTTGCTGGGTGGCTTCTGCCCCAGAATCGGGTGGCGCCCCTTCTTCGGCCCAATATTACTAAAATCCAGTTTATTCACTTCCTGTCCTGGAGAGTCTGAAGCAGTCATAACCCTCAGGGGAAGACTGGGAAAGTTACCCAGTTCCTTAGCTTGAATGCCATTAGAAAATTTCTCCTGAAGTCCTGAAGAGTCTCAGCTCCTTATCTCCTCCAGTTCTCCTGAGATACCTGGACACATGCTTCCCTCTCTCTAAGCCCACGGAGGATGTATTTGGCAAGGGCAGAGAATAAGAGGTTTCTATCACAAAGTGAGGGACTGAACACAGGCCATGAGATGTACACATGAGTGATTAAGGGAGATAGTGAGATCTCAAAAAACAGATGAGCTACAGTTTTCTTATGTGCTCTGGTTTAGAGACTGGGTGCATGGCCCTCTTGAGAGCCCCTCTGAACTCAACAATCTGCCCTGATGCCAGGAGCAAAATAAAACAAAAACACAAATAAAAATAAAAAATCCCATGGACATTGAGCATAAAATACCTCCTTGCTCAAGTAGGTCAGGTTGGCTAATAAAACACTGATGGTATTATTCTGCAACTCCCATGGTGGACATTTGGATGCCTGCTCCCTTAGAATAAGAGTCCACTGAAGTAGGTCACATTTGCAGTGGTCTATATTCCCAGCTTATTATTGGCACATAATTCACCATCTAGTGTTTACCAATAGAAAATCATCTTCTTTGGATCTTATCAGAAATTTTTGGGGAGATTTCTTTTTGAGAGAGAGAGAGAGAGAGAGAGAGAGAGAGAGAGAGAGAATTTTTATTTATTTTTTAGTTTTTCGGCGGACACAACATCTTTGTTTGTATGTGGTGCTGAGGATCCAACCCGGGCCGCATGCATACCAGGCGAGTGCGCCACCGTTTGAGCCACATCCCCAGCCCTTGGGGAGATTTTTATCTGGATTCCTCACTCATGGAGGAACCCAGAATGGAACAGCATAATTATTTCCTGGAGGTTCTAATGACATGGAACATGGGAGAACGTGACTTCCTTTGAACTGGAAACTATGCTCCTCAAAGGGTGATCACTTACGCAGACACTAGGAGTACAGATTTAGGCAGATGAACCTCTAAGGACTTAGAGTGTCCTAGAAATGTCATAAAGGCTATTTTATTGCTTGCAATGTGTCTGGCAGTAATTTTGAGGATTAATTACAGTAGTCCTCCTTTATTCACCATTTTAATTTCAGCCTTTTAGTAACCTGTGGTTAACTATGGTCTGGAAATATTAAATGGAAAATTACAAAAAGAAATAATTCATAAGTTTTAAATTGCATGCCATTCAGAATAGTGTCATGAAGTAGTGTCATGATATAATTCAAGTCTCACACCATCTTGTTCTCTTCTCCCTGCAATATAAATCATCTTTGTCCTTCAGATCTATGCCATATGAGCTACATATATGTTAATCACTTAGTAGCTGTTCTGATTATCAGATTGTCACAGTATCATACGCATGAAAGACCACTTTCACATAATTTTTATTAGCTTACTGTTATAATTGTTCTATTTTACTAGTAGTTGTTGTTGATTTCTTCTTATGCCTAATTTATGTACAGGAAAAACATAGTATAAAGAGGATCAGGTTGTATCCAAGGTTTGAGGTGTCCACCAGGGGTCTTGGAAGTATCCCCTAAAGATAAGGGGGAACTATGGTAATTTAAATTATTGGCCATTATCAGTTTATTTGCTGAAACTCCTTGGGAGGTAAAATTGGCCTTCCTTTTATCAGAGCATCTGAGACGTCATCAACCCATGGAGTTCATTTGGTAGAGTCACACTTTGAACTTGATTTTTTAAATAGCACTCTCCAAGAATTCCTGTACCTGATATGCAAGCAGGATGGGACTTGATGTTATCCTCCAAGATAGACTTGCTATAAAGTGTCATTCTTTCGAAGCAGACTTCATCAGGGACCTTAGATGATCTGCGCCATTCTACAGCCTATGGTGCCTGGTCTCCCTGACATCCACTCCCTGCCCCTGAGCATCCCAGCACACTCTGAGCCCAGGAGGACATTTCCCTATCAGGTTGAGCTCAGGTCAGTCTCTCAAGATCTTGTAGAGAGAGCCTGCACTGGGGCAGGTCTTGCTTCTGCCTGTTCTCCTTTTGATTGACTTTTACCCTTCTTTCTAAACTGAGGTCGGAAATCGCCTCTCTCCGGGGTGGTTTCTCTGATTAAGTCCACCCAGTCATTCCTTTCCTCAGATCTGTATAACACGGACAGGTTCTGGTTTTATTGCTCTGTGTTAATTCTGCTTTGTTACATGTTATTTTGTACACATTCTCTGGCTCTTTCTTGCCTGCCCCAGTTAAGCCATAGATGCCTTAACCCCTCCCTGATGGTTCCAGATGATCAAATCTTCATGTTGTTTTGTTTTGTTTTTTAGCACTGAACAGATAATTTTATTTACGTCCCCTTTCAAAATGCATGCACATGAATAAGATTGTACACAATAGGCCAAAGATTACCTAGAGACCAACAGAGCCATATAAAAATAATTTAGAGCAAGTTTTATTGATTTAAATAAGGCAAGTGAAACGTAAGGTCAGCATTAAAATAAAAAGATTTTCAAGAAATTTCTCATAGTTGTACAGTGGAAAAGTATGAGTATCAAAATTTTGACTATTACTGTGCAGAACTGAAAGCCACGTGCATTTCAAATTGTAAACTCTTATAATAATACCATTAAACCCACAAAGTCACTGGCAAGTTGTCTGATGTTATCCAGATCCTACAATATTTTCTTTATGTAAATTTTGGTATATTTGAGTTCATAATAAGCCCAATTTTATATCACTTGAAAATAATAAAATTCCAAGGTATATCTGCTTCTTTAAGACATCAGAATGACAAATGTAATTTTCTAGGCTGATATAATTCAAGTACAGTAATAAAAAAGGACAACATATTTGCTCCACAATGCTAGGGACTGAACCCAGTGCCTCACACATGCTAGGCAGGGCAAGTCAACCTACATTCCCCACCCTTTTTAAAAAATTATTTTAATTTAAATCACTGTTGCCCAGGCTAGCCTCAAACTTGTGATCTACTTGCCTCAGCCTCCTAGGTAGCTTGGATTATAGGTGTGCACCACCACAGACAGCTGACAACACATAATTTTAATGAAATCAAATCTATTTGAAAAAAGGGACATTATATAGTTGTTAAACAACAGTGCAAACTAACATTAAAATCAATGATATAAATTTATATAAGAATACTTATATTTATTTTCACTGGACAAATTTTAAAGCCCTTTCTCTTTTCTGAAGCATAAATAATGGGTCATATTCTAACTATTCAATGATTAACCACGTTTCTATAGCAGACTCTTCATTTTTATACCTGCTAACATGTTCACAAGTTGTAATAATCCTTTGAATTTGTTCAGTACCTTAATAAATCTGATAGATCTTGGTATCCCTCATTACTTTTTGTACAGGATATTCTGTATTAAATCCAGAGCCTCCAAAAATCTGCACAGCATCAGTGGCTAATTGATTTGCAACATCTTTAGCAAATGCCTTTTCAATAGAGGCATAATAGGTATTTTGGCGACCAGAATCAATCTCCCAAGCTGCTCTCTGGTAACTTAATCTAGCTAGTTCAAGTCTTTGATTTGTATTTTCTCCTAATCCTCTGTTCCAGAATTCTGTAGAAGCAAGCATTCTACCTGCTAGCCCAGGTGTCGCTCTCCTAGTGTGGAAACAAAACCGTCAATCTCTCTTGGGTGCCCTATAACTTATCTGAGCCTCTTCAGCACAAGTTTGATAATTGTTTTTTCTTTTAAAAGACAACAGCAAGAAGTAGAGTGTCATTTCTATTTTTCTTTCTTTCCTTCTTCTTCTCCTTCTCCTTCTCCTTCTCCTTTTTGGTACTTGGGAACTAGGGATTGGACCCAGGGGTGCTTTACCACTGAGCTACATCCCCAGCCTTTTTTATTTTGAGACAGGGTCTTGCTAAATTGCTGATGGTCTCGCTAAGTTTCTGAAACTAGTCTCAAACTTGCGATCCTCCTGCCTCAGCTTTCAAAGTCACTGTGATTACAGGCATGTGCCCTGCACCGACTAAGCTTCATTTCTTGATGAAAGGGCAGTGTTGCTATCATGGTTAATGATTATCCCTCATCCTGTCTCTCTAATCAGCAGAATCTTTTTTTCTCCATGAGGTAAAGCTTTCAAGGGGAGAAACAACAGTGAGAGCTACACATGAAGGGCAAACAGACTGGCAAAATTTTCCAGCCCCAGAAACCCAAATCAGAATCATCCCTACAGATCATCTTGGGGAAGAGGAACCGGGAAGTGAAGGGGCCAGCTGCACACAGCGACTGAACTAGGAAGGGCATTTACATCCTGCAGAGATGGAGCATGGCTAACAGATTGGTCTTCCTAGGAACTGCCCATCACTGATCTGGATTCAGATTTGGCTGGGAGTATTCCTAGGGTTTCAATTTTTTTTAAGCTATTGTGAATTTTTTTTTTCCTCTTAGTAGTACCAGGGCATTCTACCACTGATCCACATGCCCACCCTTTTTATTTTTTTATTTTGAGACAGGGTCCCACTAAATTGGCCAGAATGGCCTTGAATTTGTAATCCTTCTACCTCAGCTTTCTGAGTAGCTGGTATTAATGGCATGTGCCACCATACCCAGCATAAGCAATTTTTTTTTCCCATTTTATGTCTAAATTAGCTATTGGGGGAAAATGTGTATTATTTAGTCACTGATTACTGAACATAATTTTTTCAAATACATTTTTGGTTGTAGATACACACAATACATTTATTTATTTACTTATTTATTTATTTTTATGTGGTGCTGAGGTTCAAACCCAGTGCCTCACACATGCTAGGCAAGGGCTCTGCCACTGAGCCCCAGCCCCAGCCCTGAACATAATTAATTTTAAAGCATTGAAGTTCCTGTGCTTTTCTTGGACTAGGATATCTACAAACAATGACACATTTATCCTCCATTCCAGTAATAATAGCTCTTGTCTGTCTGTCTGTTTTGAGATGAGGTCTCAAATTCATAGACTGAAATGATCCTACCTCAGCCCCCTGAAGAGCTGGGACTGCAGGCGTGGGCCACTGTGCCCAGCTTGTTAACTATTTTGTTTTGCTGTTTAGAATGTCTAGAGCAATGTTAAATAAAGAAATAGCAAGTTTGTGGACAGTCTTACTTTGTTCTGGACTCAATGGGACTATGTTTAGGACCTGATAGTTAAATGTCATGTTATCTGATGGTTTCAAATAAGCTATTCTTAATCAAGTCAAGAAAGAACCTTCTTATTTCTAATTGGTTAAAAAAAAAAAACACACCCAAATGGATATTGACTTTGATTAGGTTAAATTCTGGAAGATTTTCCTTGGGATATCCAATGATGATCTAAGTGGTATTAACTAGGATTCTATTTGTAAGCTTTTGATTATTATTAAAAAAAAAACCCAGCAAATTCACAGGTTGATTGACAGTAGGCTTTCTAAATGAATTATATGAAATTGAGGGGGGAAGCAAGATTACCCAGCAAAATATATTAATGTTAAAAGGGACAACATGCAGGGCTAGGCAAGAGGAAAAGAGAAACTGTTGGTTATAATTTTATTTAAAGTTTTTAAGAAGTTGTTTATTGTGAATAATTAAAGAGCTCAAAGGGAAGTCATTTAACCATAAAATTGCCAAGCAGAATTTCATTACAGCTGATTAAAAAAAGACCTCACTGCTTTCGCTACTGATGGACTCCACTGTTTTCATACCTTACCTGGAAGATCTTCCTAATATCTGATCTGGGTATTTCTTTCTAGGACATAGTCCTATTTCCTATTTACCCCTACTCTGCTTTTTGTATGTGTGTGTGTATTGGGGAATGAACCCAGGGGTACTTTACCACTGAGCCACATTCCCAGCCCTTTTAATTATTTATTTTGAGACAGGGTCTCACTAAGTTGATTAGGGCCTTGCTAAGTTGCTGAGGCTGACTTTGACCTGGTGATTCTCCCGCCTCAGGCATCCCAAACCACTGGGATTACAGGCGTGTGCCACCACGCCCAGCTGCCTTATTTTTAATGGAAGGAATTCTGCTACAAAATGAATGCAAGAATACATAGAGAATCTCACCCTATTAAAAAAAAAACACCTAGAATTCACACAGCCACTTGAGTGTATTCCACTGGATCCATGAAAGAAGCATTCACAGAAGTCCAGATTTTGGGCTTGGGTTTTTCAGGATTGACATTGACATAATCTGTAGCTTCCTTGATGTTCTCATAGTCCAGGACAGATTCAGGGGCTGAAAAGACCACTGGTGTGTAATTCACATCCTTGATGGCCTGAGGAAGACAACAGAAACACACGGGTCAAGGTTTCTACCCTGTTTGGAGGAGGTCAGACCCTCAGAGGGAACTTGAGCCCAAAGAAGCTGCTCAAAGCTTGGTGGGAAAGGACCCGGATGGATCCAGGTAGCTATCTGAGAGCAGGGCAAGGGCCACGAGGAGGGTTTCCAGTGACTGTGTTCTGTATGTCTTCAGGGAATGGGCTAAATTAGGATGAGCAGGTGGGAGGCGATGGATGACAGGGAAATGCAGACACTTGATTCAAGTGAGGTCAGGACTCAGTAGCTTTAAAGGGTCCCAGTGAGAGGTTTCCTATTAGCACTTCCACTTTTATGGTCTGCTCACACTCCCTTTATTTGGTGGATCCATGCTAATATGGGGCTGTGGGCAGAAGCCCGACCACCCTCACCCAGGGACGCTCTGAGGACTCACTCAGCCCTCCTTTCTTGCTCCCGCCTCAACAGCTGGGGTGTCCAGAGCTCCCAGTTTTACAGGGACCCTAGGTTACCTATGGAGGAGTGCACATTACTAGGAATCTCAGTACCTGGAAGGTGGAAGGCAAAGTGGCAGGGTCGTTCAAGCTGACCGAGCTGATGGAGCTGTCTGAGGACGTGTTGCTCTCATCTGGGGAGAAATAGAAATGATTCCTCCTCCAAAGAAAGTTGGGGAGTGTTAGGAGAGGGGAGTGACAATGGAAGGGAGACTGAGACAACAGCAGAGGCAGAAGCAGCAATGCAAAGAAGCCGAGCCCCAAAAGAGAAAGAAGGGGAAACAGGGACAGGGTGGGTGGTGGGTAAGAAGCCAATAGTAGGCAGCAGCTTCCTGCCCAGGAGTCCAGGTACTGCTGCTCCGTCAGCTCATCTAAAACTAATAAAGCTTGCCCGTGCCTAGGCAGGACTGTCTGCCAGAAAAGAAATCAGCAGGGTTGTACCGCGGCAGCATGGCCCGGTCCCAGCCACAGGTTCCAGTCCAAAGCTATCACCAGCTCTAGACAGGTTGTATCTCTTTTGTGCCCTGAAATTTGTCCTCTGCAAAGCCAGAGGGCTACACAGTGATTGCCGAGGTCCCTGCTAGGCAAACAGTCTGATTCTGGCCAGGCTCGGAGGACACTCTGAGGCCAGAGGTCAGGGTGAGGCCAGCATTTCCTCTATTCTGCCAAAACTCTGAAGGCCCTAGTGGCACCTTCTGGTTCCCATGATCTCATCTGAAAAGATAAGATCAGAAGGACTGAGCAAAACGCAAACCAATCCAGAGATAAACCCATGGAAAAAGTGCAATCTCTGGAATCTCTGGTGAGTGGGCCCCAGCGGGGCTGCTGAAGTGGCAGTTTCCACCTTGTGGATGGATAGTGACCTATTGGGTCTCCCAGCCCTTGAGATAAAAAAAAAACCAGAGGGTGGGGCTTAGGTGGAGCTTGGTGGTAGAGTGCAAGCCCAGCAGGTGCATATGCAAGGCCCTGGGTTCCAGCCACAGCACAGGGGGAAGAAAGGAGGAGGAGAAGGAAAAATAGAAAGAAATAAAATAAGACCTGAGCACAAAACCAACAGGGTGATGGGTGGTGCTCCTGGGTCTAGTGAAGGAATTGTCACCAAGACTTGCATTCATTCAAATTCCCAGATACCCAGGCAGTCTCAGCCCAGGATGAAGGGTCCCCATGGGGAATATGAAGGAGCCAGCTTCTAGAAGCAGCCAATGGACTGGCCAGGTGGTATGATGCCCAGTGACCACCATGGCTGGAGGCAGGCAGAGGCTCCACTATTAGCTGGCTCAGCAGAAGAGGCCATAGCCTTAGAAAGAGAGGAGCCAGCCCCCAGGTCCCTGTAATCCATCATTCACACAAGACTGGACTGAGACCCATACGAACCCCCAGGGGTCTTTCTCTCTTTTCAAATAACTATTTCAAAAAGGCAGGCTGGTGAGGCCTGCGCGGAGTCTGTGTGAGGGATCCTCAGGCTGGAAATTTGGGTGGCAGGGATGAACATGGGTTGCTGCAGAGATGCTCCTGCATGTCCAGACACAGCACAGTAAGCTTCAGGACAAGTTCTCCCTTGCCTCCTACTCACGCCTGTATTGGGGAGCAGACTCTTTCCAAGTCTCTTTGGCCACAGGGAAGGGATGGGGAGCAGAACTAGGCTCCCGGACCTGGAGTCTGGCTTCTTTCAGTATCCGTTCACTCTGGTGGGCTGGAGGGGAGAGGGTCAGGTTGAAAGCAAAAGAAAACTGAATTAGTGATGTCTGCTCTTGAATTAAGTCCTCTGAACCCTCAAAGGGAGACCCTTCCAGGATCCCTTCAAATCTCAGCTCTGCTGTGCTTCAAACCCCACAGTGGCTCCAAGCCTCACTCTGAATAGAAGCCCCTGTCCCAGCCTCTGAGACCCTCTGTGGCCTCACTGCCCTTCCTCTCCATCCCTGCTCCTGCAGCCTCTTGGCTCTTGCCAGAGTGTGCCCGACATACTTCTGCCCCAGTCTTTGCAGGAGTGGCTCACTCCTCATTTCCTACAAATTTATACTCAGATGTCAGCACCTTAGGGACACTGGTCCCTTCTCAGCTCCTAGCTTCTTGCCTTGCTTCCTCCCCAGGATTTATCTTCACCTAACGTACATGTGTGTGATTTGTTTATCTTGTTTTTGTCCCATGGACCACAAATTCCAGGGGATAGGAATTTGTAATTTGTTATGTTTCATATAGTTTGGGCTTAGACAGCGCCTGAGATGCTCAATAAATATCTGTCACATGGATGAATGAGCAAACAAACGAATGATTCAGTGGAGAAGCCTAGACTTTCTTTTCTGGAAAAATCCTCAGAATATCATTCTGCCTCATAGCCTACCTTAGCCAAAGCACCATTACTTTTCCTAATAGTAAAACTTTTTCATAACAAAGATTCTCTACCTACATTCTTCTGTAGATCATTTTAAGAATTTCAACTCATGTCTCAGTCTAATTATCTTTTCTTCTGTTGCAATTTAAGGCCATTTTTCACATCCAGTCCTTCAGCATGATGACAAAACTCATTAGGCTTAAGGTAAGTGAGCCCTCTTCCCCAAGCACATGGAAGCTGGTCTCCAGACAGAGGGTCCGGGTGTGGGAGGAGCCTGGACTATCATTCCCATGAGAAATAGGTTGGGTAAAAGGTGAGGTCAGAGAGGGGATTGCCCGGATGCAGGGTGGTGAAGGGTAAGCCGTGCCAGGGATCTGGTCATTGGGTCCTCAAGTAGGTTTTCAAGTGATAGCTCCCAAGGGGTCTCATCCTCTACAGGATTAATCTCCTAGGGCGACTGGGAGGGGCAGGGGGACAAAGCCAGTTACCTATGTTCCTGCTGAGCAGGTAATTGAGGGCCATGAGGAGACAGATCTGGAGGAAGAGGGACAACACTGCAATCACTAAGCCATGCCACAGCTTCATCTCTCTGTTGGGAAAGGAGAAGGGTGAAAGTCCGAGATGGCAGTGATGTCAACAGCTGCAAAAGGTAGCCCTTCCCCAGATGGAAGCAGATAGCGGGCATTGTTGGGGGCTTCAGGGCAGATCCTTTTGCCTCTGGACAACATGGCTAGGGCATCCAGGAAGGGTGTGTACGCTGGGTGGCCAGCTACACCAGTGAGCCTGGCGGAAGCCCTGCTCCGGTTCTTCTTGGGCTCACTCACTCTGTCAGCATGATGAGCTTCTGGCTGAGCTGCTGCTGGTGTGAATGGGGCTCAGACTTTTTCCAGGGCAAGCAGGAAGAGACCCGGGGGAAACTGTTCCTGGAGACCTGCAGGGGTCGGGCAAGGAAGTGGTCAGGACTCTTGGGCTTTATGCCAAATTCCCCTCAGGCAAACTTGGCTGCGTGGGGGCCATTTGCCTTCCTCTCCCCAGATTTCAGGTTTTGAATGCGCAAAATAGGTGTATTAATGTTAGTACCTAATAGCCACTCACCCTCGGTGCCAGCCACTGCCCGGCACACCCTCCACCTTCCCAATTTTGGATAGCAATGCTATGAGAGAAGCGTAATTACCATTATTTTATTGCAATCAAAGGAGATGCAGAGAGATGGGTGGTGTTTAAGGTCAGAGGCCTGGAAAGTGATCAGGCCTGACTTTGAACTCTGGGTCCAAAGCCTACATCCAATCTGAGTGCTCTGCTCCTGGACAGCCTTAACCAGAAGCAAATGGGGTTCTTCCTGAGCAAAGAACACCGGTATAGAATCTTTGAAGAAGTCCAGATCTTAAGTGTACACACCCAGGCTCGGACACCATCAGGCTTATGCATTCACACACCACGCAGCTTCAGTGTGGGCTTTAGGATTGCGGAAGCTGTCACACGCTCACAAGTGCATTTATTTTAAAGCACCAGTGTATGAATTCCATCCACTTATTGTTGAATGTGGAGTTTTTTAGAAGCAAAGAAAAGAATCAGTTTAAAGCCCTTGAAATGATATTTATTGAGCACTGAGATGGGGCTCTGAGCCCACCCAATCTTCTTGCTGCAGACCCTAAACCTTAAAAAAAAACTTTTGGCTGCTATGAATGGTTATTTTCTCAATCAGGGTTTCCAAGTGCAAAGGGCAATAAAAAAAGACTGAGCTTTTATTTGTAGTCCTCACACTGAGGCTTCTGAGGATCAAAACATGCCCTGGGAGTCCAGAGAGAAAAAAAAAATAATGGTGGGGACAGGGAGTGTGCAAGATTTGCCATCATTGCTTTTCCATGCCTTGTGAGCTCTGGCCACTGGAAGTCTCCAGAGAAGATAATGCCATCTCCCTGACACCTTTCACACAACAACCACCTAATCCTTGGGGATGACCTTCTTTGGAGGGAGGTCAAAAGATGAGCAACACGTGCCCTATTTATCCTCCTATTTGCTCACCATCCTCCATAATCAATCATAGACACTTCTCACAAAAGACCCTGTCTACCATTTGCTTTTCATTTAAATGAGCAAATGCCACTAACATGTCACTCCCAAAGAATTCTATTTAGTTTGACTTACAAAGGTGGAGTCAGAATGCAGACATGAATTCTTCATTTTATATAAATTCAGTATGTGAGGTGGGGGTGGGGGAATGAGAATGTCTTAAGTGGGAGAAGGCTCCTGGCTGGGGATGATGGGACCCTTATGATGGAACCCTACTATATGGGTCCCAGCACCCACCACTGCAGTGCCAGAAAGCACCACATGGTCACCTGGTTATCATCAGGGCTTCTCCATTCTTCCTGTAGGACACCTGACCTCAGCACACTCTGGTCATGGTAAGGAGCCCAGCAAAGGGGGCAGCCAGTGTGTCACCAGGGCTATGCTACCATAATGAACTTGATGATTTTAATTTCTTTCTTTCTTTCTTTCTTTTTTTGGTGGTACTGGTGCTAGGGATTGAACTCAGTGCCTTGTACACTCGAGGCAAGCACTCTACCAACTAAGCTATGGCCCAAGCCCACAATGATTTTAATTTCTTAAGGCTCTTCTCCTACTTAATTTATGAAGAATTATACAACTTATATATATTTGTAGCTAAATATTAAAGATATTCATGAGCAAAACATTTTATAAAATCACCACAGACATTTTATGAAATCATCCTATTTCATATGCATCCAATTTTTTTCCTACACATTTTCACATACATGTACCCCGTATATGTAGGTGAAAATATGTACAAATACATATACAATCTTTTAAAAACATAGGATCATACAGATTGGTAGGTGTTCCCCCACTTAATATATTGCAAATGTATTTCCAGATCAGAAAAAACCTTAGCTAAAAGGCCTCTTACTGGGGACCCAAACTGGCCAAACAAGGCACTGAGATGATTGTTGTTCCATAGTGTGTTTTGAAGATTTGAGTTTGGATTTTGTAAAATGGAACAGGTTCTCCTCAATTCCTAACTGATCCCTGAAGGTATTTGAGCCTGCCACGTCTGGGTTTTATAATAACATCACTTTAAATTATAGTTGTCCCTCAGTGTCCTTGGGGGGATTGGTTCTAAGACCCCCCCACCAATGCCAAAATCTAAGGATGTTTAAGTTCCCTATATAAAATGTCATAATATTTGCACACAACCCATCCTTTTGTATACTTTAACTCATCCCTAGATTGCTTATGATACCTAATACAATGTCAATACTAAGTAACCAGTTGTTTTACTATATTTTTAAGGAACTAATGTCAAGAAAAAAAAGAGTGTGTGTGTTCAGTAGAGACACTATTTCTTTTTTGAATATTTTTCTATTTGTAGCTGGCCTGAATCCCCAAATGCAGAATCTACAGATACGGCATGCCAACTTCACGTTCCACTCCACCAGTGGTTCCTAGTGCTATCTGACATTTGGGGCTAGACAAGGCCTTCTTGTCTAGCACCATTTTGCACACAGCAGGACATGGAGCATCCCAGAAGCCCCTGGATGTAACAGGTCGATGTAAAAAACAAAATGACCCCACACATTTCTAAATGTTCCCTGAAATAAGAAAATTTTCCTCCAAGTGGAAAATCACTACATTGGATAGATGTCCTATTTGTCTTATTTTGGCTCTTGATACAAATCTACATTGTCCAACCTTCCTCCCACCATTACCATATATTATGAGTACATTACCAGTCAAGGGACACACGGCCACTACGTTGAATGAGAGCAACAGAAGCACAGACGTCCAAGAGACCTCAACACGGATTCCAGTTCTGTCCTCTTCTAGCAGTGAGTGATTGAACTCCCCAGTGCCTTGGTTTCAGTGTCTGTTTAGTGGGAAGAATAACAGTATTTATTTCACAGAGTTCTTGTGTGGGCTCAGTGATTTATGCTATTTGTAAAGAACTATTTTTTATGATGCCAGGCACATGGGAAGCACTCAATAAATATTTTTAGGTATTCTTGAACTCTAAAGCACTCTACCATGATGGAGACTAGAGCTGTTAAAAATTGGATTGGTTTTGTCGTAAGAAACTTAGACTTTTTTTTATTATAGTTTGGAAACAAGATCTAGGACAAGATGAGATATGAAAATTATGACAGATGTCATTATTTAAGTGGCTAATGGCCCCAAACCACAATGAATAGGTTGTTCCCCGAGGCCTAATTACAGATTGCTGATCAGGCCATATGTTCATACACACACACACACACACACACACACACACACACACACACACGACAAATCAGCAACAGAAGGTAATTACATCGTGCGCCTGGACCGTGTGGGGGTTTCATTTGCCCTGTTCCATCATTGAGGTAGCGACTGTGCTAAATTTTGACACCCAGACACACACTAATGTTGTCCTTAGCCAGGTCTCACAACCACGCTGCATCTGGGTGCTGGGAGCATTTTCTTGGTTGTTTCACACTGGTACATAAGGCTGGATTCCATTTTATTAAGTTCCCCTCTTTTGCTTGGGAAGGCTCTTCCTGATGAGCTCCCTAATAGGGCCAGCATCACATCAGAGATGGGACCAAAAGACTGACAGTTGGTTTTCTTTGAATAGATTCATTCTAGAAAGAATGATTTAAAATGAGGTCACACTAGAAAATTTTATGAAAATCAAATGGACTAGAAGAAACAATCAATCCTGTTAGTATGGCTCTATTA